CACTTACTAGCTGTGTGTCTTGTGCAAGTAATTAATCTTTCTGTGCTTCAGTTTCCACATTTATAAAATAAAATAATATCTTTACCAATGTCACAGGGATCTTACGAGGAATAAAGGAGAAAATCCATATAAAGCATTTTGCACAAAGCAGGTACTAAATCTTTGCTATATTTAGTTATTAGTATAGTTATTTACTTAATGACTATATCTCCCAATAGAGTGTAAGCTCCATGACAGCTAGCAGAATGTCTGTCTTGTTCATCATTTTATTCCCACTACCTGGCACACCATCTGGTATAGAATAGATATTCAATATTTGTTGAATGAATGAATACTAATTTGCAAAGATGTTTGGAATAAACAATAAAAACTGGAGTATAACCTTCAACAGCATTATTTTAGGTTATACTACTAAGATACTTCTATATATGAATGTCAGAATTTACCCTGATGACATATACACATGTAGCAGGATATCCAAGAAACCGGTTAAGTCATTGCCTCTGGAAAAAGAACTGAGATTTACTTTTCACTTGTAGATCCTTTTGTACTTTCCAAAAATTTAAGCAATAATACACAGGTACGGCCCAGCCCCATGGCCAAATGGTTCAAGTTCTGTGCACTCCACTTTTGCGGCCCAGGTTCGCAGGTTCAGATCCCGGGTGCCAACCTACTCCACTCACCAAGCCATGCTGTGGCAGTGTCCTATGTACAAAAAAATGGAGGAAGACTGGCACAAATGTTAGCTCAGGGCTAATCTTCCTCAAGCAAAAAATAGGATTGGCAACAGATGTCAGCTCAGGGTGAATCTTCCTCAGCAAAAATAATAATGATAATAATAATATATATATATTCTTGTTTATAAAATTTTTTAAAAAAACATATTTTTAAACTCATAATATTTTTTTAAACCTAGAAGACTTTAGGCCCAAGAACCAACACTACATAATGGTTCCATGTATGGAATTTTTTTGGAACTCCAGAAATCATCAAGAGGTTTGGCTTTCACATATTTTGAACTTTCAGAATGGCTCATTACAGACTATCAAACTATATAGATCTATCCTGGTTTACTGATACTCCAAAAAGTCAAACCTCATTAGATACTGATTATGTGTCCAAAAAGATACAAAGGGACAAGTAGCATAACTACTAAGAGTAATAAGAATTTTACATTTATATACCAGTTTATAGTTTACAAAATATGGTGGAAAAAGCATGTCCCTGGAATTAGACAAAAGTGCTTAATAGGTCTACCACCTTGAGTAAATTTTAATCTCTCCAAACGTCAACTTCCTCTTCTATAAAATGAGAATAGTGCCACCTAGTTATCAAGGGTTTAATTTAAAAAAAGAAGCCATTGCCTGCAGTGAGCTTTGTCCTTTTAAAAGTAATTATTTATATTTTGAATAGGTAATACTAGTTGCTGTTTCAAAATTTAAAAGGTACAAAAGGGCTTACAGCTGGTTTCAAGGGGAGAAATGCAATTTTACAATGGCGGACTCAGACTCACCACCTGAACTCACTAATCAATCTCAGCATCATTAATAGGCGGAAAACTAGAGTCCCCAGCGTGGCATATTATATCATCCCCAGTGTGTTCAACCTGAATCCAATCAAGTATTTAGCTCTACCTTCCAGTGTGGGTAACAAGTTTAAATGATATCACTAGGAATCAATCAGATAAATCCAGATAACTGACCAGTTCTCTCCAACAAGTCATGATGAAAAAGAGAAAGGGAAAGAGAGAAAAGGTAACTGTTCTGATTTAGAAAGACTTGAAGAGGGCCGGCAACGTGGCTTAGCGGTTAAGTGCGTGCGCTCTGCTGCTGGCGGCCCGGGTTTGGATCCTGGGCACGCAACGCGCCGCTTCTATGGCTATGCTGAGGTGGCGCCCCCCATACAGCGACTGGAAGGATGAGCAGCTATGGCATACAACTATCTACTGGGGCTTTGGGGGGAAAAAATAAATTAATTTAAAAAAGAAAGACTTGAAGAGGGCCAGCCCAGCGGTGTAATGGTTAAGTTTGCTCGCTCCACTTTGGCGGCCCAGGGTTCGCAGGTTCAGATCCTGGGTGCCGACCTGCGCACCACTTATCAAGCCATGCTGTGGCAGGTGTCCCACATATAAAGCAGAGGAAGATGGGGACTGATGTTAGCCCAGGGCCAATTTTCCTCAGCAAAAAGAGGAGGATTGGCAACGGATGTTAGCTCAGGGCGAATCTTCCTCGCCAAAAAAAAAAAAAAGACTTAAAGAGACATAATAGTCAAATGCAATTCATAAATTTTGAGGGGAGGGCCGGCCCTGTGGCTTAGCAGTTAAGTGTTCGCCCTCCGCTGCTGGCGGCCCGGGTTCAGATCCCGGGTGCACACTAACACACCACTTCTCCAGCCGTGCTGAGGCCACGTCCCACATACTAGAAGCTATGTGCACTAGAAGAATGTGCAACTATGACATACAACTATCTACTGGGGCTTTGGGGGAAAATAAATAAATAAAATTATAAAAAAAAAATTTTGAGGGGGAATTGCGTCAAAAATGGTTAAAAAAAGGGGAGGACAATTTGGGGACATTGTTAAGGATTGGGTATTAGATAATATAGAGGAATTGTTGTTCAGTGTGATTATGATATTGGGTTATGCAGGAAGATGTTCTTTTTATTAGTGACATCAAAGTATTTAGGGGTGAAATGTCAGGAATAAAAGCAAATAATGCATGGGCCGGCCCCGTGGCTTAGCGGTTGGGTGTGCGCGCTCCGCTACTGGCGGCCCAGGTTCGGATCCCAGGCACGCACCAACGCACCGCTTCTCTGGCCATGCTGAGGCTGCATCCCACATACAGCAACTAGAAGGATGTGCAGCTATGACATACAACTATCTACTGGGGCTTTGGGGGGAAAAAAATAAATAAAATGTTAAAAAAAAAAGCAAATAATGCAAAATATTAACAGATCTTAAAATCTGAGTGATCGATTTACAGGAGTTCAATACGGTATTTTCTCTACTTTTCTGGATGTTTAAAAGTTTTAATAATAAAAAATAAAACAAAAAAGCTTACAGAGAAAATTATTTCCCTCCCACTCACGTTTCCTAGCCACCTCCACCTCCAGCCACTGTTACCAGTTTATGCATTCTTCCAGATATTCTTTGCATATATATGCAAATACATATATTTTTAAAAACCACAAATGGATGCAAACTGCACACTCTCTTTTGCACTTCTTTTTTTCACTTACTATATCTTAGAACTCACTCAATATTTGCACACAGAAGGCTGGCTCATTCTTTCTAACAGATGCATAATTTATTTAACCAGTCCTCTTCTGACAACACTCAGGAACTCTCATTTCTTGACAGTCTCTTTCAGACAAAAAAAATAAAAAAGTAGGAAAAAACACGAATTGACTGTAAGGTTTCAATTAGAGATTTAGCATGCTGGATGTGCAAATGGAGTTTTCATTTGTAACTTGTCTGCTTAGGTGCTCTTAATCACTGGGTACACAAATTCATCCTAAACTTCCCACTAAGATGCTGCAATTACAAAACACACAATATGTACACTTCTCACTGAGCCATTCCTGGTCCCAGAACCAAGTCGGCTAGCACCCACCATTATTCCTTGCTTCTCTTCTACAGGAGTCTTCAAACTACATGTGCTCTAACCTAGATCTACAACAATCACAATTCACAGTTTTTCCTTTCTAAATATTTTCCTTTTAATCAAAGCAACTGGTTCCAAACTAACCTGATCAGACTCCTTCACACTTTCTACCTCCTTCCAAGCCACTGTGATGTTCTCTTCAAAAACCATCTAGTAAGTACCTTTAAAGGCTGCTACCACTTTCTAGACTCAATAGTTCTCTACAAACTGTAATTGGAATGCAGTTGCTTCTCAGCAGAAGTGCTTGAAATATCTAACTTGGTGTAGCAGCAAAAAGATTAGCTTTGGCACTGTATGTGAATTTCACTACTTAACCCTAGCTAAACTAGCTTAAGCAAATTACCATCAAACTCTCAGCGACCTCATCTAAAATGTGCTCCAAAAAACCGCCTTCCGTTACAATATCTCATTAATTTTTTGTGACAGACCTGAGTGTATCTGTGGTAGGTGAAGTAGGTGCTAAATAAATCCTAGTTGAATCTAAATATTATCTTCCATTATTTGATTCACGACTAAAGTTGAGAAAGAGCTTAAAACTAATTTTAAGATTTCCTATAGGGTTTAGCACAGTACTAAGCTCTTAGTAAGTGCTCCAAAGTTATTCTGGCTTGAGTAAATTCGATATAAACCATTATGGTGGATAAACCACTCTCTTGGTAGGTAAGAGAAGAACTTCCCTTAACCAGGATGGCAGTCCCAAATTGCTAAGAGTCATGGAAATCTCAAACTTCCCAACAAGATAGCTTAATCTCAAAAGATGGTTCTGACTCTCAAAGATAATTAAATCGAGCAGATTGAAGGGGGAGTGGGGTGCAAAGCATTTCCTCTCCATAATTACGCACCCAGATTCGGACTAAATACTAAATTGACACATAGTAAGCGCTCCATAATTAATAGCTATTATTAAGACGCATCCCATAAGGAGAGAAGACGGAAGAAGGAAAAAGAACGGAGGCTGTAAGTCACAAGTGGTCGAAAGGTGTTCCTGGCCGGAGACCCGTAGGCCTTTAAGCACCTTGACTCTATGGGCTCCCTGCGGCACCAAAGGCCGAAGGAGGTCAGCAGCCTCCCCTAAAGGTCAAGGCTCTGCCGCCACGTTTCCGGCTGGGAGCAGAGCCGGAACGCCCCCGCGAGAATCTGTACCGCGAAGCCAGAAGCACCGCCTGCCCGTAAACCCGCGCGGCTCGGGGAAAGGGGACGACCGGGTTGCCCCTGCGCCGCGGCCTGCAGGAGCAGAGATCCGGCCGCGTCCTGCAGCCCCAAACCTCCCTAAGGGGCAGACCACCAGGCCCCTCGGGCTCCGATACGCCTCAACGCAGCTCGGCCCCTCGATACTCACACTCACAGGCGACCCCTCTTACTCCATCAGGCCGCCGAGGCCCAGACGAGGGAGCTCCCTGACGCCCCAGACGCCCCCTCGGTTTGGGGCCCGGCGGCCCGCTCCGAACCGGCTCCCCTCCGGGCTCCGCTGCCGCCGCCGCCGCCGCCAGCGCGCAAGCGCACACCGCCGCCGTAGCGCTCCCCTCTCTTTTTTTTTTTTCTTTGAGGTCCGCCTTTCTCAATAATCTAGCTTTATTTGAACTCACGAAAGTGAACAACGGACACAGGGGGAAAAGGTTTTATGTACTCTAAAAGAATGGGAGAAGACAAAAGGCAGGCAGGCTTGCGAAGTTAGTCCGCTGCGCTGCACGCTCCTGTGAGCAGCCTCCCGGTTCCTTTTTCATTCTCTTTCTCTTTCCGGGCCTCGCTCTTGCTCCTAGTCTCTTCCTGTCTCCACCATTCCCTTTAGGCGGTGGCAACTGTTTCCGCTACATTGCCAACCACTCCTTCCTTCTAAAATTTACTGAAGCTTAATGGAAGGTGCAAGAGCTTTAGAACACACAGACCTGAGTTCCAATTTTGACCTGGATACTAGTACTTTGTGACTTTGTGTAAATTACAAATTTTCTTGGAACCTCACTTTCCTCAGAGTTAAAATTAGGATATCACTCAAGGTGTTGCTAGGATTAAATGACATAACATAGGTCAAGTGCCTATCCATAATGGTGCCTATCACAGAGCAGATAATCCATTAATACTAATAATTACATTCTTATTAATACTTAATGTATTTATATTAATTATTAATATTAATTTATATTAATTATATATATTAAACTTAGCCCATACCCATTCTCTCGGGATCCTATTTTAGTGACTAAAACTAGTGAGATAAACCAAATTACATTAAGGTTGATAATTTGTGAAGTGTTACTCCTCCTATATTGTTGAACTTCTAATAATATCTATGTTTAACAAGACCTTCAATGCCTCAGATCAAAGTAAGCAGCTCCCTTCATCTCTGTGTAAATCCAGATTTGCTTCTAGAGGATTGAGGAACTATTCCCATTCTGTGTTTGTGACATCACAAGTCCTTGAAACACTCAAGGTCTGAGGTATGCTGCTCATTCTACTCTCCTTTAAAGGCAAGCAATGGAAGAACTGCTTTACCCTATAAGCTCTGGACCATAGTCCAACGAAAAGCTTGTAGAAGACCAAGGTCAGCTGTTGGTGAGCGTCAAGGTAATCCTAGATCATGGTTTCTCAACCTTGCCTTGGCACTATTGACATTTTGGAGATAGATCCTGTGCTCTCCTGTGCATTTTAGGCTATTTATCAGCATCCCTGGACACCAGATGCCTGTAGTGCCCCCTTACATGCCCCCCCCCACCATCTTGATAATCAAAATGTCTCCAGACATTGCCAAATGTCTTCTGGAGAGCAAAAAAGGAAAATGTCCCTGGTTGAGAACCATGGCATTATGCCAGTGACCATCCCAACCCTAAATGAACTCAACCATACATTTTCTCCACTTCTACCTCAAGAAGTGATTACTGCTTGAGAAATCTATGCAGGAGGGCAGAAACTGGTGAGTTCATTTTTCCCAATCTTATACAGGCCCTCAACATGGCTTACCAGTTCTACTACTTTCCTCTGGTCAATTTGCTCTATCACTTTCTACAACATTCCAAATCTTCTCCACTTTCTTAAAATTCCCAACTCCTTTTCTATCAGCAGATGACCTCATCTCCTACTTCACAGAGAAAACAGAGGTGATCAGATGAGAACTTCTTTAACTTCCTGTTACTAAACATACAAACTTACAGACACATACTTCCTCTCATTATAATTGAGAAGATCTCTCTTCTAAGACTGTCCCCCCCATCAGTGCTCTGGATTGCCTCCATTCTTACCCTCTGAAGATCTTTACCTACTAACTAGCACTTCTCTTTATTCAACTGTTTTTTCTCAGTTGCATATTCCCTATCATGCTTAAGTTTCTCCTGCCTTAATTCTAACAAAAAATCCAAGAAATAGAAACAAAAAACTTTGACCCCTTGTCATCCCTTTCCCTCCTACCCTCAAGGCCAAACTTTCCAAAAGCTTTCTACAACCTGTCCCCATTTCTGTATCTCCCCTCTCTCCAAACTACTGCAATCTATTTTTCAACTTCATCCCAACAGATAGCTTTCACTAAGATCACTAATGATCTCTGTGTTACTAAATTCAAAAGATATTTCTCAGGCTTCATCTTCCTTGACCCCTTAGGAATAGAATATTCCCTCTTTAAAGCACTTTTTTCCCCCCCAGCACTGTGCTTTATTTTTAGAGGTGCCTGGAAGAGTTCCCAGACCTGCTTAAAACCCTTCAGTAGCTCTCAGTGATCACAGTATAAAGTGCAGGGTCACTAGTCCAAAAATGCAAGACCTCCCAAGATCTGGCAATTGCCAACTTTTTAAAGCTTATTCCCCCTTCACCTGGAGATATACGATGAGCTCTAAACCTCTAACCAGGATGAACTACAAGTAATTTCCAGAAGGCGCTATGTTCTTCTTGGCATACGCTGTTCTCACAGTCTGGAAAATAGTCTCCCTCCCTCCCGGACTTCCGGGGGAACTCCTACTTATCCTTCATGACTCAAAAGTCATTTCCCCCGGGAACCCATCCAGACACCCCTAAGAATAAGGCACTGTGTTCACTGTGCGCCAGCGGCGCCTCGGATTTTCTATATGCCATGCACTATATTCTATCCACTATAATTTATTTACATATCTATCTCCCAGTCTAGACAGATCAAAAGACCCTAGAGGGCAGGGAAGGCATTCTATTCGCTTTCTTTTCCTCAGTGTTCATCCCGCACAGTGCCTGGCAGTTTGCCCTCAGTACGGTACATGTAAATGTTTGTTGCTTGAACACTTCCCACCTACAAGCGGGACTCGAATTATCCGGTTAACGGGTGAGTCCCCAGGCTCCTCGCCTGCGTGGCAGGGAGATTTAAACCCCCCGCACCGTGATTGGCTCCAGCTGCAGGGGTGTGGCCGCACCCGCGGCGCCAGGGAAGTGCGCAGGCGTGTGAGGCCGGCGTGCGCAGGCGCAAGAAGGGGCAGGTCCCAGTCCAGTCTGGGGGTGTCCGAGCTGCCGAGGCCGCAGAGGAGTGGCCGAACTGCGTGGTGAGTCTCCAGGAGTGGGGCTGAGGGAGCTGGCCGAGGTGAAGGTTGGGATCATGTCCGAAGGAGAAAGAGTATATCATGACGGTTGAAAAGTTGGTAGGATCGGGCTTTAGGGGAGGAGCGGGGCTCTGGCTCGGACTGGGCAGGTCGGGCCCGGAGCGAGGACGCGAGGCGCCAGGAGACTGTCGAGAGGCCGGCACAGGCAGGGTGGCGGGATGGTGGTTCTCTGGACCCTTTCTTGAAACCGAGCGGAGGTAAACTCTCACTCCCTCACCCCCGACCTCCAGAGGTTTGCTGTGGTGGGGATTAATAGACTGTATGGTGACCACAGTGATCAGATAACTGTGAATTAGTTGTCTGAAGAAGATCTCTGAGGTTCATGGCATTGGAGAGTCCATGCTTTCTAGGAAAGTACAATCTTACCTGTTTTACTTGGTTCTCTCACGTTCCTCCGTAGCCTGGAAAATACCACACTTGAAATGCATGAGACATCATTAGCTAGAATACTCTGAGATCTAATCTTAAAATGTCTCATAGTAAAATTTTTAAAAATTAATATTTTTGCCACCAGCAAAGTTGATGCCTAAGGCATCCAGTGATCCTTGTCATTTGTTCCTTTGGCAAGAGGTAATGAAAAAGACCACATTCGTATAAATACTAGCAAATATTAGGAGAAACAGGAGAAACACCTCACATTACCATTCTCTTTTGACAGGTCATGTGAAAGTAAATAAAATGATCATATAACTTAGCCTACAGCTTAAATATTTATCATTGTTGCTAGGGCTTTTTTTTTTTTTTAAGTGCTTGTGGTATGTGGATATGCACTAGAAAGTTGCTGTTATCTTAGTTCCAGAATAGGACTGACTTATTGTGCTATTATTTTCTTAACCTTATTACACTGTTTCCTATGAACAGTAGAATATTTGTATGGATCTTAGCCTTTGTTTCTTTTACTCTAAAAGAACTTAAGTATACTAACAAGCTCACTTAACTAAAGGTCACATTTTTTCTAATCATTCAACACAAGCTTAAATCAAGAAGAAAGCAAACAAACAACAAAACAGGCCCTGTTGCTCGTGGAACAGCTGTCAGTACTTCATTTATCATGAACCATACCACCATCATAAATTTTGCCTTTTAGAGGATCGTCTGTGTTATTTTACTTCGTATTTTTAATAGACTTTTTTTGAACATTACCCTCTTCCAAAGTGATAATCTACGAAATCATGGTCTTGTATTTTATAATACTTTCTAGTTTTGTGTATTTTATAATATTTTTTCTAGTACACATTATAATAAATACATAACTATTAAGTACATAACTATTGCTTATATAACAGCTAAAATCATCTCTTGTTGTTGCTCTGCCCTTTGGAAAATACTGTTTTGGGTCTAATCTACTCATTTTTAAAATGAAGTAAAGATTGGACTGCCTAAACTCTAAGAACTTCAAAATTCTGTGAGCCCTGTGATGGCATTCATTATTGTTAACACAGTTCTAGCAAACTTACTTATCTGGTTTTACCAAATGAAAGTAGATTGTAATAGCAAAAGAGAAAAAGAGGATGTTTGCTCTTTGACATTTTTGTGAAATCAGCTGCCTTTCATTTTTTTTCTTCTGAATTAAGGCATTTTCTTTTCCTTCTTTGGTTCCTATGTCCTAAACATTCTGGATATCTGTTTTTAGGTGTATTTGTACTCTGCATTGTGTATGTGTTAGTTAGCATTTATAATATATGATGTTGCTTGCATTCAAGAATGCTGAACTTTTTATTCCAGTGCCATATTTTGTTTCCAGGTCTGTAGCTTGACAGAGGAGTTGATGACAAGGACTGATCTTTTCTTTGTCATGGTGGGTAGAGGCTTGAAACAGATGGATCCAGTGCCTCCAACAATTGGAGGAAGTGGATTGTGGAGCCAGGAAACAGCATGTACTGTTCTTTTTGTGGTATTGGGGTTGGAGGTGAGGTTCTGTTTGCACTCATTTAAATTCACTGACAGTTTGATTTTGATTCAATTTAGGTTTTATTGCAACTAAAATATTTAAATCACTGATCTCTATATTTTTCTGGAATTCCCTCATCTTGTTGATTTTTGTGAGTTCTGTAACTTGGATTTAAAGTTTGTTTTAAATTTATTTTAACAATGTTTTGACAACTGAGATTTCCTTTAGATGGCCTCACGATGCTTATAAAATAAAATCCACACTTCTTGGTATAGTGTACAAAGCCCTTCACAACCTGTCTCCTGTCTGCCTTTTAAAGCAACCCTGCCCCCTCTATATACATGCACACACATACACACGTTATATTCCTGCATGACTACTGAGGCCTTACATTGTGACACTTCTTTGATAGTCTAAAATCACAATTTTTGTTTTGTTTTGTTTTTTGGTGAGGAAGGTTAGCCCTGAACTAACATCTGTTGCCAATCCTCCTCTTTTTGCTGAGGAAGATTGGCCCTGGGCTAACATCCATGCCCGTCTTCCTCAACTTTATATGTGGGACGACTGCCACAGCATGGCTTGATAAGCGGAACGTAGGTCCGTGTCTGGGATCCAAACCCCAGGCCACCAAAGCGGAGCATGCGAACTTAACCACTACGCCACTGGGCCAGCCCCTAAAAATCGCGGTTTTTAAAAAAATTGATCTTGCTTGGATTTTGATTCCCAAGTCAAAAACATGAGAGATATTTAATAATTATTGTGAAAAATTATAATAGCTTTATTGAGCACTGTGTGCCAGCCAGAGTTCTAAATGCTTTGCATGAATTAGCTCAATCCTTGTAACAGCACTTGAAGTAAGCACTATATCCTTATTTAATGAGAAAACTGAAGCACAGAGAGGTTAAGTAATCAGTAGTCAGGATTTGAAACCATTATGCCTCCAAATATTGGGCACTTAACCACTACACTGTATTGCCTTTTGTATAAACTAGAATGCCACTCTTTTAATCTACTTTGGGGGGATATTCTTTTCCAGGGACCTGAGTGCTTATGTTCTCTATCTGTGGCATCTGACTCTTAGTATCAGAATGTTTGAGAAGCTAACCAGAAAGCTTCTAGGTGAGCTTGGAGTCAGAGCCAAAATACTTGGATGGTTTGGGTGAATATTTCATTCAGGCAAGATGAAGCCTTGCCAGTCATCCCTGTCTCAACTTGGCATCTTCCTGGCTGATACCATACTTATGTCTGCCAGATTGTGTGCCTCTCTTCCCTGGAGAATGAATGCTGCATTCTTGAGCCTCTTTCTTAGCTTTCATATAGAGCATCCCTTTTCTGTTCCCACAGGCTTTTTTAAGACAGGGTCGATATAATTGATTATAATCACGTCTAGATCTACCTCCCCAGGATTACACCCTGGTCCCTTAGAGTAGAATTGTGGAAGTTCCGAGGTTGAGCAGGACTTGAAAACTAGGCCTTGGACATCAAGCAGTTAAGTAATAATAGGTGCTTCTGTAAAACCGAAGTATAATTTTGGTCTTTTTGGTTTGTGATTTTTAGTGGTACTTTCTCACTCAGCAGTATGATATCTGTCTTGAATCATGTGCTTCAGTGCTCTTGGAAACCAAGATGTTTAATAGATATGGTTCAGTGGTGTACTTCTTATATTTGCATAGTTTTTGGGCTTCAGTATAAGAATGGTTAAAGTTGTTCCTGTAGAAGGAAGTAGAAAGGAAACTTGAGAGAGGAAGTCAAAGGAGGAAACTAACCTTAACGTAAATATGACTTTCATCTAAATGCCTTCATGAAGAATTAAATTTCCTAATCAAAGCATGGATTCTTTTTGGCCTAACCTAGAGTATTTACAGTGTTTTTTTTTTTTTTTTTTTTTTTTTAAAATTTTATTTATTTTATTTTTTCCCCCCAAAGCCCCAGTAGATAGTTGTATGTCATAGCTGCACATCCTTCTAGTTGCTGTATGTGGGACTCGGCCTCAGGATGGACGGAGAAGTGGTGCCTCGATGCGCACCCGGGATCCGAACCCGGGCCACCAGCATTGCAGCGCGCGCACTTAACCACCAAGCCACAGGGCCGGCCCTACAGTGTTTTGGAATACTATGTACTCATACTTGTTGAGTGTATGTGTGAACATTTTCCTTCCTTTTTTTGTGTGAACGTTTTTAACATTTCGTATTGAAAATGGAATCTAAGAGCAAGAAATATATTCCTAACAAGAAACTAAATTCGTTTACCCAGTAAGTGATGGTTCATATCTGAATTTCTACTTTATTTACTGTAATCCTTTCTTCCATTCTTTCTCCATTGTTCATCTTTAGAGTCTTCAAGAAAGAGCTGCTTAGGTGTATTGTGCATATACTTGTATTTCATTAGGTGCCTAGAATGGCACCTAGTAACTCACGACATGAGATACCAAGTATGAGGTGGGGATGATTGGCAAGGCTTTACCCTGCCTGAATAAAATATTCACCCCAACCATCCAAGTATTTTGGTTCTGATTCTAAGTTCACCTAGAAGCTTTCTGATCAGCTTCTCACACATTCTGATACCCAGAGTTAGATACCACAGATAGAGAACATAACAAATAACATGAGTATAAATGCTCAGTTCATTAATAATTGTCATTTCATGAGTCTTTACTCTGTGCTAGGCACTGGGCTAGGCACTTTATGTACATTAACTGATTTTGTTTCTGAAACAACCTGTTAGGTAGAACTGTTACCTAACGAATGAGGAAACAGACGTGAATAGGTAATTTGCCTGTAAACAGTAAATTGCCTGCGTATCAAAGCTAGGATGAACTCAGGGTCTGTCTGACCTCAGAGTCTGTTATTAACCACTGTGTTGTGCTCATTCAACACAGTTTATTAAATTATCTCACCTTATCTAGAAGTATCAATCTTAGTCACAGGAGAATTAATAATAACTGAAATCGTATTCAACCCAACTAGGCCTTGACAGTAGTTCAGATGGTCTTAGCATTAAGCTAAGAAAACTTTAGTCCTGTAGAGAGGCAAAATTTATATGCATAAAACAA